ATTATTTTTCCTAATACATTCCATCAACCGATCCCTGAGTGTATTATGAGCCAAGATAGATCTATCTTGATTGAAGATGGCATATGATCACATGCCGATTGTCTCCTCATAGAAACTTCATGAACTAAACGTACATATGGTTAAGATAGATATCAAAGAGAGGGTTAATCATCACCACTAATTCTTTAAAAGCAAGTTACTGTGCATAATATTCAAATCCAATCATTTCGAAAGTTATAGTCTTGTCATTGGATTAAAGACAAGTCAACTAAACCTCGGCTTCATACACGTGTTAACCTGACATAATCAATGAGCTTTATATTTGTTGCGACTTGTGCGGTTCTATCTCCACGTTCTCTTTCTGGTCCTTTCTTTTCCGATATTATCACTTTAGCCTGCGGTAAAATTATTTAGATTTAATAGTCGAAAAAATATATAGAATTATATAATTTTTATATAACTTACAAATATATATATATATATATATATATATATATATTTATATATATATATATATATTTGCTATTATTTTAAGAGAAATTTTCTCTTCTTTTTTTTTTCTTGGAGAGGATTAATTAGGTGCTTAAATGAATTCAAAATTTTAAAATCGCTAATTGTGAATTATCACGATCCACGAAATTTATTATGGATTGCTTATCAGTTTATTCGGTCCACTTTAATTAATTTTTTTATTTTTCTTATGATCCATAATATTTAATTTTTTTCAGATATCAAGAATGGATTTAACTTCTTTTTTTCTGAATTTTTTTTTTTTGTGGCTCGCTGATTTTTAGCCCTTCAGACTCTGTCTGGAGCATGAAATACTTTAATACACTGAGTAGATTTCGAATATATTAAAATGACCGCAAATGGTAGATGAACTATCAATCAATGTTAACTTGTAGTAGTAGATTAATTATTATTTTAATAGATTATCAATTATTTATATTTTTCGTAGACATTTATTTAAACAAAAAATGACGAAATGAGTGATGCAAATGGGCTTGACACGTGTATAAACATATGGGCCTACTGATGTTTACCTCCTTTTTTGGGACATATCTTTTCACTAATTTCAATATTGAGCCCTTTGCTCCTGTCAATGTACCTATATTTTCCCGGGAGTGTATATATATATATATATAATGGAAGCTTATTTATTTATTTATTTTGTAGTTTTTAATAAGTATTTATATTTTTCTTACAAATTCTATATATTTTCTCTTAAAAAGCTCCCACCCTATTATTAATATCTTCAATTAAATCATTTCCTTTTTTTTCCCTCTCCTCTCCTTTCTTCCTTTTTCTCCTTTCCCTAATTTCTTCAGTTTGTTTGGCTAACACACTCATCCAAAAACTGGTCCATTCGAAGATCAAGAATATATATGACTCTCGAGCATACATACATATAATTTCAGGTTTTAAGTAGGGGTGGGTATAAATTCGAAAACTCGAATACCGAACCGAACCGAATTTATTTGAAAATATTTCGGTACCGGTTATTTTGGTATTTCGGTATACTTCCGTACAGAAATTGCGGTATTTCTGTATTGAGTTTTTGATATTTCAGTATACCAAAATATTTAAGTCTGAGCCTAACTTTATTTCTATTTTCCAGCCCAATAGGCTAAACTCAACACCCCAAGCCGCCTAATTCCCTAATCCCTTAGCGCGCCTAGCGAGAGACAGCAGATTTACGGGCACCAGCAAATGATCAGTTTGCTCTATGTAATTATTCTATGTAATTATCAAGATCCTATTTTCTAAGTTTGCCTTTGAGTGGTTGAATTCTGAGCAGAAGTTAGAAGAGACGTTAGGCAATAGGCATAGCATAATCTTGGGAGATCTGAAAGGCTCTGGTATGACAACGAAATCGTACCGAACCGAATAAGTAAATATCGAAGCTTACCGACCTACTTAGGTACGGTATTCAGTATGCACAATTGATATAACGAATATCGAGTACCGAGTCGTAGTTATTAAATACCGTACCGAAGTACCGAACGCCCACACCTAGTTTTTAAGTTTTTGTGATTCACGACATTTATTACGGATTACTTATTACTCCCTTCGGTCCACTTTAATTGATTTATGATTTTTTTGTGGTCCACAATATTCGATTTTTTCAAATATCAAGAGGGAATTTATATTAACTTCTGTTTTTCAAAGTTATCATTGAAGTAAAGAGCCTCGGAGTGTTTGCTATAGTTCCAATAAACAATTTAAGGTTAATATGGTCAATTTCATTGTTAGTTAATGCTAAAAGGTGAATTATTTAATATATGAAAAAATAATAAAAAAAATTAATTAAAATGGACCGGAGAAAGTAATAAAGAGCGTTCTTTGGTTAACTTAAAATTTTACCAAACCACCTTAAAAAGCACCACATTGTATTTATTTGTTACACTATTCGTTCAAATTCATATGTGCGCTTTGATTGGAAATGAAGTTTAAGAAAAAGAAAAAATTTAAATTTATGGTCTAAAATAAGCAATAGTTTCTGGAGAACATGTGATGGTAATTGTTATGTTGATTATAAGAGCCAAAGAGGCTTGGAGCATATTCTATTGCATATGGAATAAAGTATTACAAACAAGTGTTGTGGTGGAGTGGTAAGTACTCTTTCATCCTTAATCAGATATCTCAGGTTTGAGCCCTAGGTATGAAGTCGTTTTTGTTAGGGAGCATTTTACCTACCTTCCCCCTCAATGTGAGACTTACCCGACGCGAATTAGAATTTAATGCGAATGACGGACAACGAATGAGAACCAAAAAAAAAAAAAAAGTTTGAACTTCTATTTGAGGGGCCATGTAGAAGAACCTTTTAGTTGTTTAGCTAGAGCCCAAAGAGAAATGGCCGAAACTCCTTTGAAAAAGAATGACGGGTTTCTCATTTCTCAATAAGTGCTAATTGAACTTCAAAAGATTATTCATATCCATAAAAATACTTGTGTCCAACTGCTCTTTGACAACAAAAGATCCCTCTGTCACTGTGTCTCTTACCGACTGGCCCTTTTTTGTGGCTCTGGTCGGTAGACAGCACTTATCGGAGAAAAGGAAAGAATATTTATACATTTCATCTAGTTAAGGGTAAAATATAAGTTTATAGTTAAAGCATTTTCAAGTATAAAAGGTGTCATTCTTTTTTAAATAAATTAAATAGACGCTTGGACATAAGAATTGTAAAATTCCAACAAAAAAAGTAACTTTTTTTTTCCTGAAAATAGTTTAAAAATTAGAGTTGTGTTTGGACATAAATACCATTTTGGGATGTTTTTGAATTTTTATGAATGATCTGAAGTAAAAAATTTGAAAAATAGCTTTTTGGAGTTTTTCAAATTTTTAAAAAATTTCGAAATTCATCCTCAAGTGAAATAGAAAATTCATGGCAAACACTAATTTCGAAAAAAAAAGTGAACAAATTTCGAAAAAAAGTGAAAAAACAATTATGGCCAAACGGCCCTTAATGCCTGTTTTGGCAGTAGAAACTCACTTTTTTCTGAAAAAAATTCACTATTTTTCCAAATTAGACCATGAAAACTTTAAATTTCAGTTCAGGATGAATTTCGGAATTTTTTAAAATTTTGAAAAACTCCAAAAAGTTATTTTTCAAAAATTTCATTTTAAATCACTCAAAAATTCAAAAATAACTCATAATTATATTCATGTCCAAACACAACTCTAATTTTCAAATACTATTTTCACTTGAAATAGAAAAATTTACTGTTTTCACGAAATTTCACAATTCTTATGTCCAAACACCCACTAAAATTGACAGTGTCATATAACATGTAATGTAAGGGATGCCTAAAAAAGCAAAGTATATCTAATGTAATTCTGAATGGATTCTCTTATATTCCTGGCGTGCTTAGACCACTCATGATAATTATCCAGCATGTTAATGCCTTTGCTGATAAGTGGAAAGAAAGTATTAAGGATAACAAAATATATTGACCCCCTAAAAGAACAAAAGAAAGAAAAGAATAAGCTTTCTTTGTCGATTTATTGGTTATTTAATATTGTCCTTTAACCTACGATCGACTATAACAACAATAATGAAATTTAGCCGAAGTCTGAAAAAGGCAATGGATGCATAAACCTTACTCCACCTTTATAGGCAAAGATACTATTTCGTATAGACCCACAATCGACAATATAATAGGAAAATATTTAAGAATGAGATTTGAAAGCAAACTAGCTACTACTAATGCGTATTAATTTAAGTTGGAGATATATGTGTTACTATTGGTGTCATTAGGAGGGCTAGTCATACAAGTCGTGGCATGACAACAACCGTTGGATAACAAATGTTTTTCTTTGACATCGATTTCGGCATTCATACACGTGTAATGTAAAGAAATGTTTACACACTTTCGGCTCACCTAAACGATAACTACATGTAAATATTCTTTGGAAATGGCATTAATGACCTGAATAATGAGACAAGTAATATGCTATAACTGGTTAAAATACACCAATAACGTGAAGGTTCTTTACACTATCAGTGTATACAAAAGGGTAGTCCGGTGCACTAAGCTCCCGCTATGCACAAGGTCCGGGGAAGGGACGGACTATAAGAGTTTATTGTACGCAACTTTACCTTGCATTTATGCAAGAGAATATTTTCACGGCTCGAACCCGTAACATCCTGATCACACAACAACAATTTTACCAGTTACGCCAAGCTAAGGCTTCCCTTCACACTACCGGTGTATATAATTAGTTAAATTAAATCTATACTTAAAATCTAGAAGAATGCCTAAAGATTAGCATTAATTTTGAATCTAATGGAAGGTATCATAGCCACGCATTCCTCTTTCAACAGTGTGATCACTCAAGTAGTATACTGTGCGCGCACATTATTCCTCTATGTGTGTGCATTATCTTTATTCTACATAGTAAAATTTGCATGTTTCACTTTTGTCCATATAAAAAGAGAAGATAATGTTTTGTGCTAGTAATAGAAACCAATAGGTCTATGTTTTTAGTTCTACTAATAGTTGACTCAAGAATACTATAAGAGAGTGACAAACTAGCTCACACCAATTTATTACTACTTCTAATTAAAGCTCCTTCTCATTGGCTTCTAGGATCTGCTTTTACTACTTCTCAACTTTCTTCTACTGTCCACAAATTACCAACTTCGCAAACGTCAACAGCAGATTCATTTTAGATATGAAGGTTGGTTAAATTAGCATAACAGTTGCAGTAATTATTCCAAAATTGTGTATCTCTAGGTTGATAAATTTTACTTTGTTTGGGTTTTGCAGTTCTTTAACTGGATGCATAATAAGTTAAATGGGGGACAAGGAAGCAAAAAACCTAATGCAGTTCCTATCACAAGTAAGCCTTTTTCCTCTTCTCCTCTTAACAAAACCAAAAGGTAATTTCTTAATTTTGTGCTTTTCCTATATAAGACATGTATGCATGCACTATCTGTTATATATATATACCACAGAAGTTAGAAGTAAAAGAGTTTTTTCTCCCAGCAGAACATTTATGGGCCGGGGAAGGATAAGGGACCAGTTTTAAAAGATGGATGTGAGAAACTACCGCGTATACTGACTGCAATGGCGAAGTCAGAAATATAACTAAAGGCATTCAAGATTTCATATACATGTGTAATATTTGACTTAATTATGGGTATGTATACAGTAGAATATTCGGAGAAAGAGTGCTCTTTACATTACCTTAAGAAAATACTCATGTGATTCTTCATTACATTAAATAGGTAGCGCGACAAATGGTGAAAACATAGATTTCTAGTAACTCCTAATTAATCCCTAACATGGCATACATATAACAAGCTTGATACGGCAACGGCATATATTGAGGAGTTTTTTCACGTGGGGGATATATATATATATATATATATATATATATATATATATATATATATATATATATATATATATATATATATATGCATACTTACATGATACATTAATAAATTTTCGAAATTTGAGAAAATGCTGGACTGTCTCTTTAAGTTGTTTGATTGACTGTTTAATATTGTGTCACAGATCAAACAAATGAAGAGTTTAAAGATTGGCCAGATTCGTTATTGGCAATTGGAACTTTTGGCAACAAGAGCAGTGATCTCGAAGAAAGTAGACCAAAAACACACGTACAAAATGATCATCATCACGAGGACGAAATCCTAGAGAATTCACCAGATTTAGCAGAATTCACACCTGAAGAAGTTGGCAAATTACAAAAAGAATTAACAAAATTATTATCCCGAAAACCGGCTGATGATATTCTTCCATTGGACAGATTTCTTAATTGTCCGTCAAGTTTGGAAGTTGATCGCAGGATTAGTTCCAGCAGTACTAATTCAGACAATTTTGATTATGACGAGGAAGAAATTGACAGAACTATAAGAGTGATTATAGGAAGATGCAAAGATGTCTGTAGTAAGCAGAACAAAAAGAAAGCAATTGGGAAGAAATCTATTTCTTTTCTTCTCAAGAAAATGTTCGCTTGTGCAAGTGGTAATTTTGGTCCACCTCCTACTTTCCCAGATCCATTTCACGAATCAAGAATGGAGAAGGTATAAATATATCTCATATTTCCAGTAATTTCCTTGTTTATATTTTTGCACCTTCCCTTATGTTCTTCTCATGTATATATAGCCAGATCCAAGATTTTAACTCAATATATATTTATGTTCTTGTCACACTGAACCAAATTATGGATCCAATTATTATTATGTAAATTTTGTTTTCATAGATCTTGAATCAAATCAATATCCATTTCGAGTTTTCATTAATTAGCTAGACTCATACTGTGAGTTGTTTTTCTAGAAAAAATATAATACGTCGCTTTGCTTCCGACAGCCGTATGTTTGATCCCGCTTATGGGGTCAGAATCAATTGAAATCCTCTAATTGTTTATACTAGACGGGAGTCTCACTAGTTCTTATTTTGCATAAAATTTAGTAGTAGTTATTAAAACTATAGTAATTTCTCACATATGTATAGCTAGTCAAGTTTCGTGTCAAAAATACTGAATCAGCTAAACCTTCTTAACTATATTCGCCACTAATTTTTCTTTAACAGATTTATCTTGTGTTATTAACAATTGCATCTTACTATTACAGCTTTTGAGGACAATGCTTTCCAAGAAAATAAACCCTCAAAATGCCTCTCGGACATCAACAAAGAGATATTTAGAGGACAAACAACCAAAAAAGGAAGAGCAAGAAGAGAAAAAACGAGAGAAAACCTGTAATGATGGATCTAAATGGGTGAAAACTGATTCTGAATGTAAGTAACATTCAATAATTTTTATATTTATGAAAAAAACAAAATTATATTTTAGCGTAACTCTAGCTAACCAATTTTTTATTATTTTTTTTTTTTTCATTTTGCAGTTATCGTCTTGGAGATGTAGATAAACTTTTCTGTTGTTCCGTTTGCAAGGAAGGCCAACATATTAGGATACTATCAAACTTTTGAGAGAAAATGGTCAAATTTACCCATGTACTTGAGGAACTTTGCTCTCCGTTAAACTTTTAGTCTAACATCATCCTTGTCATTAGGAAAAAGTCTCAGTTTTGTCCTTGAGCCCTAACAAGTGAGGCAAATATGAGACGTTTTACTAACTGGCAGGGTAATGTTAAGGTCAAAATTTTAACAGGGGACAAAATTACTCAATTTTAAATAGTACAAGAATAAATTTGGAGTTTTTTCCACCATCCTATTTTTTTTATAACCATGTTTTGGTTTTTTCTAAAGAAACTACTTTCTTGTGAAGATTAAAAATTGGAGCCTTATTTGGAGAATTTAATATATTTGTTTCACAGTTCTGGAAATTATGACCCCCCCCCCCCTCCGCGTGGCGGAATCCAGGATTTTAAAGTCGTGGGTGCTCACTGATAAAAATTCTGAAAGAAGAGGAAAAAAGAAAGTATTTATGGAGCCTTATGGGTGCTCACTCAATATTTATCTAATATTTTTATAATTACCTATATAAATTTACTAAATCTTGTCAAAGTTAATGGGTGCTTGAGCACCCAAAATCAGCATGTAGATCCGCCACTACCCCCCCCCCCCCCCGAGTCCGGAACATAAATATTGTATTTTTGGATTCAAAATACATAAATAGGTGGGAAAAAAATTTACTGACCGAAATATATCAAACACGATTTTGAACCACGTCAACGGACGTTAAGGTAAAACGTGGTTTAAAATCGCGTTTTATATAAATATATCAAACGTGTTTTGAAACAACGTTTTCTGAATTTTGCATTCAAAACTGCCAGCTTTAAAAGAAGAAGATTATATGAGTTTTTTTTTTTTTTGTTTCCCATCCGGTGTCCGGTACTCGTATTGGAGCCCGACTATATCCGGATTCGCGTCGCTTAAGGCCCCTTTCAGGGGAAAGCGCTCCCTACCAAGGAATTTTTCATACCCAGGGCTCGAACCCGAGACCTCTGGTTAAGGGAAGAGCAGTCTCATCCACTGCATCACATCCTTTGGTGGTGAAGATTATATGTCACGACCCGGATTCCCACCCTCGGGAGTCGTGATGGCGCTCACTAATACGAGCTAGGCAAGCCAATTAATTGCACAATTTATCTTTTTACCCGTTTTATATTCATTAACAATTTTAACAATAATAACAACATTGAAACAGCGGAATTTAACATAAGCGGAAGAAAGAAGCAATAAGCTATCTGAACATGAATATCTAGTACAACTGTTTGAGTCTCGACTACCCAGAACTGGTGTCACAGTTTCACAAACGGTCTAAGAATACTACAAATAGAGGGTCTGAAAGAAATAAATACGACACTGTCTCTAGAAATGCATGAAAGAAACAGAAATAGTGGATAGAAGGAGACGCCAAGGCCTGCGGACGCCTACAGGACTACCTCGGGTCGCCTGACGATCAAGGATCAGCAAATCTCACTGCGGTCCGGAGTCAACAGCATTGGGATCTGCACAAAAGAGTGCAGAGTGTAGCATCAGCACAACCGACCCCATGTGCTAGTAAGTGCCTAGCCTAACCTCGGCGAAGTGGTGACGAGGCTAGACCAGACTGCCACATAAACATGTGCAGTTCAAATATATATACAGCGGAAAAGAATTTGCAGAGATACAGTCAAAATGGGAGGGGGAGCATGCTGTAGGGGAGATGACAAATCCGAATAGAAAGACATCAAATAAACGAAAGAAACAACATAATAACTCAGATATCAACCAAGAATCAGAAATCAATAAATGCACGGCATCACCCTTCGTGCTTTTACTCTCATCCTCACCAAAGCAGTCATATAATAAAAGTGTGCACGGCATCACCCTTCGTGCTTTTACTCTCTTTCCTCACCATATAATCAATAAGATCGGCACGGAATGGTATATCGTGCGGCACGGCATCACCCTCGTGCTTTACACTCTTTCCTCACAATAATACACGGCATCACCCTTCGTGCTTTATACTCTTCCTCACTAAACAAACAATGCATGACAACACCCTTCGTGCTTTAACTCTCTTCCTCACCCAAACAACAATCACAAACAATAGGGCAAGGGAATGAATGAAATTGCAATAAAGTTCCCGGCAAGGGAACAACATTTCAACAAATAAATCTCGGCAAGGGAACAACATCAATAATATCAATATCCCGGCAAGGGAGATAACAAATAAATCAACAATAGCCCGGTAAGGGTGTCAACATAATAACTTCTTTTCTTTCTCACTTTTACTTCACAATTCACTTCATAACTCGAGCCAATGCTCTAGAGATTCAATTATCACTTACACTTTCACAATTCGTTACATAACTTGAGCCAACGCTCCTCAATGTTCATAGGTCACAATTCCTTCCACAAACTTTACACAACATATAGAAACCATCACCAAGGCTTAAAAAATACAACGAAGTCATGAAAATCACAATATAAAGACTCACGGGCATGCTAGACACCAACGTATAGATACTCGTCACCATGCCTATACGTTGTACTCAACAATTAACACTTAACAAATAGGACTCAACTCCTAATCCCTCAAGCTAAGGTTAGACCAAACACTTACCTCGATGCCACGAACACAACTCACGCTTCAATTATAGCTTTACCCCTCGATTCCACCACCAATTCGTTCGTATCTAGTCACAAGTTACTTCATTACATCAATAAACGCTAAATGAATCAATTCGAATGCATAAAAATAAATTTTCCAAAGTTTTACCCAAAAAGTCAAAAATTGCCCCCGGGCCCACATGGTCAAAACCCGAGGTTCGAACCAAAACCCCATCATCCATTCCCCCACAAACTCAAATATATAATTTGTTTTGAAATCGGACCTCAAATCGAGGTCCAAATCCCCAGTTTTTGAAAAACCTAGATTCTACCCAAAACACCCAATTTCCCCCATAAAAATCATTGATTTGAAGCTAAAATCATGTTAAAAGATGTTAAGAGTTAAAGGAAGTTAGTTAAAAATGACTTACAATTGATTTGGAGAAGAACAAATCCTTGAAAAATCGCCTAAGTGTGTTTATGTTTTGAGAGAATATGAAAAATGGGTTAAAATTCGTCTAAGTATAAAAGTTGCAGGTCTCTGATATGGGAATTGCGAACAGGGTTCGCAATTGCGAACCCCGACCTCTGCTGGCTTGGAAATTGCGAAGGGAAACTCGCATTTGCGAACCCTTAGGAAATCTAGACTTTTCGCATTTGCGAACAATGTGTCGCATTTGCGACTCAAGTCCTTCCCAGCATACATCGCATTTGCGAAGGGGATCCTCGCATTTGCGAGGTCAGAATTGCGAAACATAACTCGCATTTGCGAGATAAGGCAGGCCTGGGCTGGTTCGCATTTGCGACCAAGCCCTCGCATTTGCGATTGTCGCATTTGCGAGCCAGGCTTCGCAAATGCGAAGCCTGCAGGCCTGATCACACCAGCAAAAATCCTGCAATTTTCTAAGTTCAAAATGCACCCCGTGGCCTATCCAAAACTCACCCGAGCCCTCGGGGCTCCAAACCAAATACACACACAACCTCAAAAACATCCTACTGACTTATTCGTGCACTCAAATCACCAAAATAATATCATGAACATCGAATTAAACCTCAAGATCAATGAAATTTCTCAAAACTTCTTTAAATATCAAATTTGCATTTAAGGTCCTAATCACGTCAAACGGATTCCGTTTCTTACCAAACTTCACAAAATTATCTTAAATCATATATAAGACCTGTACCGGGCGCCGAAACCAAATACGGGCCCGATAACAATATGTTCTAATCAAAATTCATTTCCAAACCTCATAAACAATTCCAGAAAACAAGTTTCTTTAAAAATTCATTTCTCGGGCTTGGGACCTCGGAATTCGATTCCGGGCATATGCCTGTCACGACCCTAAACCCAGACCCGGTCGTGATGGCGCCTCCAATAAAGACAAGGCCAGCCGACACATTTCCAATCCAGTTCTAACAGCTTAATAAATCAATAAGTCATTTATAAGGATGAATAATCCAACCTTTAAGCAGTAAACAATACAAATATGCGGAATAACAACCCAACACAGCCCGACATTGGGATGTCACTAGTCATGAGCATCTACTACAACTGTCTAGTCACAACAAGACCAAAATGGTCAGAAAAATCACAAGAATACATAAGGAGGAATACAGCAGAAGAAAGCAGAGCCGCGATCGCCAGGCGACTACCTTGCTAACTCCAATGAAATTGCCACCAAGCTCAGAAAATACCTGAATCTGCACACAAGGTGTAGGGAGTAAAATGAGTACTCCGACTCAGTGAGTAATAATCATAAATAAAGACTGAGTGATAAGAAATCACGAAAAGTGCATCAACATGATGTATATAAGCAGTTCAAAAACCAGTAAGAAAGCAATGAAGCTGTGAAATCCCTTTAAAACATCTTAGCTCAGTTTAAACTTCTTTGAAACTGCCTTTTTCAACAGTTACGCAAATGAATGTAGAACAATGTCATGCAAATAAGAAAGATAAGCACATAAGGTTCGCCCCTCGGGCACAATGTCAACAAATCCGCCCCTCGGGCAATCACATAGAACAATACCAGCCCCTCGGGCAATCACATAGAACCATACCAGCCCCTCGGGATATATCTCACATCACAATGGGTACCCGCGCTCACTGGGGTGTGCAGACTCCTGGAGGGGCCCCTTGCGGCCCAAGCGCAATAACAAGCCATCTCGTGACATCAAATCTAGGCACTCGGCCTCATATTAATCAAGCCACCTCGTGGCATACATATCTCAGGCCCTCGGCCTCACATCAGTATAAATGTATCACCGTTGCGGCGTGCAGCCCGACCCAAAAGATATCCTCACAACACAGGCCCTCGGCCTTACTCAGTCAAAAATCACATAAGCCTCTCGGGCAACAGTAAAACAATGTTTCTCAGCCCAAAACATCATTTAAATATCATTTGAGTATTAAAACTGAGTGAACATGGCTGAGTTTTGAAAACAGTGGAAAATAACATGACTGAGTTCAGATGTAAAGTCAAAACAGTGAGGAAATATCAACAAAAATCCCCGAAGGGTTCAAATAGCTGGCACTAGGCCCAAATATGGCATTCAGCCCAAATAATGATGATAGCAAATAGTTTTCAATCAAATACGCGGTAAAATTATCAATCGGAACGGACCAAGTCCCAATCCCCAATAGTGCACGACCCCACGCTCGTCATCAAGCGTGTACCTCACCTCAATATAGCACTGCGATGTGCAATCCGGGGTTTCAAACCCTCAGAACATCATTTACAATCATTACTCACCTCGAACCGGCTAAATCTCTAGCTCGCGACGCCTTTGCCCCTCGAATCGGCCTCCACGCGCGTCGAATCTATCCAAAATAAGAACGAGGACGTCAAATTATGCTAAGGGAACAAAGCCCAAGCGAAAACAATCAACAAAGGGCACAAATTCCGAAATTACCAAAAACTCGAGCCTCGGGCCCACTTCTCGAAACTCAAAAATTTTCACACCAATAGATTCCTTATCTCCTCACGAGTTCATACATATCAAAAGTTCTCTAATCCGACTCAAATGGTCCTTCAAATCCCAATTCAAAAGTCCAATTTCTCAAGCCCTAGTTCTTCAATTTTAGGCTTAGCTTTCATGATTTTCTAGGTGGAATTCACATAATAATCGAGTTTTTAGTCCAAGAAACTTACCTCCCAATGATTCCCCTTGAATCCCTCTTCAATCTCCTTCAAAAATCTCCAAAAACGAGCAGCTATGGGTGAAATAAGCCCCAAAATCGCGGACAAGACGACTTAAAAACATTCTGCCCAGGCCTTAATTTCCTTCTTCGCGAACGCGGTCAAAGCCTCGCGTTCGCGAAGCACAAACTTGCATAGACCAACTTTTACTCTTCGCGAACGTGACATGGCAGACGCGAACGCGATGCCTTACACAGACCACTCATCGCGAACGCGTCCTCAACCTCGCGAACGCGATGCATCACTTCGCCAACCTACGCGAACGCGACCCAGTCTCACGCGAACGCGATGCCTACCGATCCAGCCCTCCACGAACGCGAGGCCTCTCTCGCGAACGCGAAGGCTAAATTCCTGGCCTTCCTCAATCCTTCTTCGCGAACGCGAGACTCCACTCGCGAACGCGAAGAGATAAATCTCTGCAACAGCTGAGCAGATCTTCTGCAATTTTCCAAACTTCAAAATGATCCGAATGACCACCCCAAACTCACTCGAGGCCCCCGGGACCTCAACAAAAGGCACCAACACATCCTAAAACCTTATTCAAACTTGTTCCAATCATCAAAACACCTCAAACAACATCAAATCACCCAAAACACATCGGATTCAAGCCATGTTTCTAAAATCTTCCGAAATACGCTTTTGATCAAAAACCCAACCAAACCATGTCCGAATGACCTGAAATTTTACACACACATCCCAAATGACATAATGAAGCTACTGCAACTCTCAGAATTCAATTCCGACCCCTAGATCAAAATCTCGCCTATCAACTGGAAATCGCCAAAATATCAACTTCGCCAATTCAAGCCTAAATCTACTCCGGACCTCCAAAACCCATTCCGATCACGCTCCTAAGCCACAAATCACCTCCTGAAGATAACCGAACCGTCGGAACTCACATCCGAGCCCTCTAACACATAAGTCAACATCCGGCTGACTTTTCCAACTTAAACTTCCTTAAAAGAGACTAAGTGTCTCAAACCTTACCAAAAATCATTCCGGACTCGATCCGACCAACCCGATACCATAAAATACGGATAACGAAGCATAAAGAAGCAGAAATGGGGGAAACAGAGTAGTAATTCATGAGACGATTGGTCGGTTCGTCACAACGCCCAAGTCCCATATTTTCCAATGGCAATCCCTACGGACGACAGAGATTAAACCTTTGGTAATCTGAGAAGGGTAGACATCAGCACGATCAAGAGAGGACATAGAGGAAACCTGATTCCTAATTGATTCCCTATCAGAATAAAAAGAAAGTTCAGAGGGAACTATTTCATCTACTAAGGGTTCACGAACTGGTTCATTGGAATCTCTGCTTTTAGAAGAAGCTCTATGTGAAAGAGAACCCCTGGTTCTAGAAGAAGAATGAGGAGTGGAACTAGGTAAAGATGAAGGCGAACCTCGAATGGATGTCGATCCTAAGCTACGTAACCTACCTCCTCTCCTGCTCCTAGTTGGAGCAAGAGGAAGTTCATCTACAATAAGAACTTTACGAGGATCGGGGTTTGAAGAAGACATGGTTGAACAAGGAAGAAAACAAGAATGAATATTCAAAGATAAGAAACTTTTATGAGAAAGACAAAGTAAAGGTTATATTTATACTCAGAAGCAACCATCAAACAAAGAAGGTAATGATGGAGGCGTCATAATGAAAACTGTCACTTCGTGGTTGGTGCAGCCGCAAAAAACCCTAAAAGACGCTGAAGGGTTGCAGACCCAATCAAAGAACGCCACATGTCACGAGCATTAAATGGAAGTGACATACAAAGCGTCAGTTCTGAAGAAGGTATAATGGCGGAAAAAATTTCCGCTTTAATGAGATCCACTTCCCAAATATTCATGTTGAATAAATGGCAAGTGGGGGGACTAACTGTATTGGAAAAATCAAGTTAACATACTGAATTTATTATGTGATGATATATCAAGACACATGGATTAATAAAAGAGTGACAGCTGGCAAAGGATAGCTGAAGAGACACGAGCTTTAACAGGCACAAGCAGAGATTCAAGAAAACAGGGAGGAACAGTTACTCGGACCTCTTGGTAATTTGAAAAGGCATAATAGGAATGAACCTAGATAGCAAAAAGTACAAATACGTATTATCCGTAACTAATGAGCATCAAGATGGAAAACTTTATAGAATCTTCACGAAACGGTTACGATTACCAATTATAACGTTATATTAAATGTCATTAATTGCTCATAATGGCTCTATTATGAGAGGAAAGGAAACGTATTACTGAGAGATAGCTATAAAAGGAGAGATATAACATTTGTAAAGACATGCAATATTATTGGAATACACTGATTTACTTTGTTTTCTTTTACTCAGCTATCATTCATTTCAATTCTTCTTATTTGTTTTAAATTTCATTATCAGTAACCCGAGTTCTTCTAAAAATTAAGCTTGGACCCGAATATTTTCTATTTTCTGGTTAAACAATAATAACAGTATATTTCATTTTAGACCCTGAAACTAAGGTTTGTTCCTACTAAACACTTGAACATATGATAAAATATTCCTAGTAGGCACTAGAATTTTTTTTTCTTTTGAAGAGATTTTGGGAAACTGGCTCTTGATTTTCCTGTTTTAGTGGAGCATGTTTTTTATTTGACGGAGGGTCTTATTTTTAATTAATTGGGCTCTTTAGGATCTCATTTTAATTAGTTTGTTATAACAAAAGCTTGTATATATATAATATGCATAATTAAAGGAGGTGGCATATTTTAAATGGCTAACTTATCCACGTAATGGGCGCTCGAGCCCTGGAAGTATTTAATAACAAGGGCGGCTCGGTAAATTTGGGGGCCTAAAGAGCGAACTTCAACGAGAGTATTATTTTTTATATATATAATCTTATTTGAAGTAAATTTTCTAGCTTTTTCAGATGCAAATTATTATAAAAAAAAACTTATATTGATTTCTTCTAATAATTTTTTTTCAATTGATAGTATGGCTAACCTAGTCTATCTTGAGGCACTATTGATCTTAGATAAGACTTTACAGATTTTAGTTTTGAAAATTTTCTTTCTGATGAAGAAACTGTTATAGGACTTGTTACCATTATTCTACAAGCAATATATATAGACATTTGGAGAAGAGTCAAGTTTTTTTAATGAGAATTGTACTTTATTCTAATATTTTAAGAAATATTCATATACACCTACTAACTATTAGAAAATTTGGGCCCCACGCGACTGCGAGGCCTAAAGTACTTGCTTCAGCTGCTTTACCCATGAGCCGCCCCCTATTTAATAGGAAAAGTTTATCATGCGGTCATACTTTATTTAAATATGCATTAATTCAAGTACACTAACAACTTCTAGGGGTGTGCAAAAAATTATTGTCATTTCAACAGTCCTACATAGACTTAGAAAAGAAAAATTCAATGTTTTTTACTCCTTAAAATGGTGGACTGACCAGCAGAACAACAATACCAAACTGACTGAATTACCCACCAAATATATATGGTAAGAATGTTGTCATAATGTCATTATCAAAGATGGGGCAGAATGGTCATTTTAAAGAATGTAAGGGACCCTTAGAAGGTGTCAAATAGTTGCTATCTTGGCTTAGAAGCCAAGGGAAGTTTGACACAAACGTGCCTGCAATGGAAAGATACTTAAAGTTGCATTGCTTCTTTGGAATTTTTGTGTTTGTTGCACAGCGATTGCTCTCACACTTGCCATTTTGTTTATTCAGCCTCTGGTTTCTTCCCTTCTTCTTGGCGCACCATCTTTATTTCTTAGGATAACGTACGGTGGTGTCTGGCAGTTTGCTCGACTATTTCACCTGAGTACCCATTACTTGGTCCACCATATTCTTCAGGTATGCTTTATTTACTTTATATATCAACTATATATGCTTCAATCCTGAACTATGTTCAGTTGGGTTCGGTTATTTCTTATAGGTGTCAACTTACCCCGTCTTGTTCTTAGAGGTACTAACACTTATTTATAGTTAAAACTCTTGCTTTTCCATTGCATGACTAAAAGTTTCATTTCTTCTAATGGAGTACATTTTACCAGTAATATTAGTGTTAGTCTGGTGCAATATTATTGTTAGATTTCTAGTTTTACATGTTATCCCCTTTGCTTCATTTTCTTGTTATCTTGTTGTTGTTAATGTTGCTTTATTTTCATCTTGCCTTGAGTTGAGGGTCTATCAGAAACAACCTCTCTACCTTCCACGTACGGATAAAGTCTGGATACACACTATATATCCTCCCCAAACCCTACGCTTGTGAGATTTATCTGGGTTTGTTGTTGTTGTTGTTATTGAGCACATTGGTATAATTTTGTATGATGAACGAAATAATATTCTAGTAAAAAATTGTAGGATGAACAAAATGAGCTTTTATGCGGCACCCACCTAGGTTATCACAAATTTAGATTAGTCTGATTCAATTTTGTTAACATGAATTATCTTAGGTTTTAGGGGCAACAAGGTGAAGGGGAAGATGGCGTCCCTCGTACCAAACGTATTGATTAAGCTTCTTCAAAGTATGAACTCCATTGTAAAAGTTCGCGGGGAGTATAGATCAGTTCTTTTACAAGTAATCAGCATTGTCCCTGCCTTGAGTGGTTCAGAATTGTGGCCAAACCACGGCTTCTTTGTCAAAGTATCCGATTCTTCTCATTCGACTTATGTTACGCTGTTCAAAGAAGATAATGAGCTCATTTTGAACAACAAATTGCAACTTGGCCAGTTCTTCTATGTTGATAGAATGGAGGCTGGAACACCAGTACCGGTTTTAGTTGGGGTGAGGCCAATTCCAGGGCGACATCCGTTTGTAGGTAACCCGAAGGATCTGATGCAAATGTTGGAATCATGTGAGGTTTCTGTTAAAACTGATAATACTGGTCAAAAGTGCAATGAATTGCCAGAGTTGAAAAAAGAGAAGAGAAAGAAAAAACTTGTTATCAAAGAGGAGAAGGCGGTTGTTGCATCGAGGTATATGCAGGGTTTATCAAACCAGAACACAAAGGCTGGTGGAACTGATCAAGGCAATGGTGTGAAAGGCGGTGAAAATGAGAGTAATGGATCAGATCACAAAGCTGCTGTACCTTTGAAAGGGAAACAAGCAGATGTTAAAGGTCAGGTATGATCCTCCATCACATCATTCATCTGTTTCACTCGCTTAAAGTCCATAATATTAATAATGCAAGCGGGATCATAAAATCAAGTGATAATTGCACTTTTGATCCCTAAGTTACTGATAAATTTTCAGTGAAGCACATTTAACTTGTAATTAACAAAAGCATCCATTTTTTGTAACCAATTCTTAATTCCACTGTAACCAATACAAAAGAGCACAAGTAGCAAAATTACTATTCATAAGATGAGGAATCGAATAGTCTGACATAAAATTTGCGAGATTTCCAAAACTTGTATTCCGGGAGTAAATGATAACGTGCATAGTCACTTACCAAAAGATTACCTTACAGCCCTGTGCAGCAGAATTGAATTTTAGCTGTTGCTTGACTATTTTTGGAACGGCATACTTATATAAAAGAGAAGAAAAAATAACTTTTATAAATATGCTTTCTTCTATACAACAAGTTTTTTACACATACCAATTGTTTTCCGGACACCAGAATAATAAGGCATCCACTGGTTAAAAAGGAAAACAAGCTAAGAGGGAGTTTGATGTGAAACAGTTGTGATTCCAATCCTATTCTGTGCTTGTTGAGGACTTATTCTGCTTTTGAATTTCAGACACGGCCTACAACTCGACGGTCTGATGCATTTTCTCCAAACTCAGATGTCAATGTGTTCAATAGCAGGGAGCTTTTGACAACTCCAAGGTTTTCAATGTTAAAACGCACCAGCAGCAAACAAGAAAGCAACGGTCCATTTTCTGAAAAACTCATACCCTGGTCCTCACTACCACCTAATCTCGCAAAGCCAGGGAAGGTAAATTTGTTTCCTTGCGTTCTCCTTTCATAACTCATGCCATTAATTCTTTTGCGTTTATCTAAAATTTAGTGAAATTTTGCCAAAGGCAGAGTTGACTTTAAAGGTATAACATATTAAGTTCTCCTTAATGAGGCCATTCTCTTCCCTGGATAGAGATGCACATTTTAGACTTAGCAAAAGAGAAAGAATGAATACTTGTAAGATTAAATGTTTTGAAGAGGATGTAGGGGATCATTAAAGAATCAACATGATCCACGTGTACTTACGCTTCTCATTGTTTTGTGTTTGTAATAAGGGTATCCTTAGAAGGAAAAAATTAGCTTCTTTAATAGCAGCAGAAGCTCAAGAAGAAGCATTGACAGCAACCAATCTTCTTCATTCCCTGAGGTAAGTACAATATAAGCCAAAAAGTTTGCTCAGGGTCTCAATTGGAATTGCATCAAGTTATTCACCTTCTATTTTCTTCATGCGCTACGAATTTTTTTCCCAGCATGTTTGCTGAACTATGCTCATCTGCATCACCAGAGAGCCCTCATCTCAATTTGGCCAAATTTTTCACACTCAACCAGCTTATGCAACAACCAAATACTAAGACAAATGACCAAATCCTAGATAACTTTGCTTCAAAGTTATCTTTACAAGAGAAGGAGAAAGCGGGCAAGGAAACACGTTCCGTGAATGGTAAAAGTACTCCCAAGTCTATGAAGCCTTTAATCGAAGTTTCTGTTGCTGAAAAGGTAGAGTGGGCAGAAGGAGATGGTTCTAGAGGCGTGAGGGAGTTAAGAGATGTTCTATTTAATGAAATACAGTCCTGGTTTCTGAAATTCTTGGAGGAAGCTCTTGATATTGGATTTCGGTTGGATGAGCAGCATCATAAAAAGAAAGCATGCCCAGTACAACAAAAAGATTCAAATAACCAAATTGCTCTTGCGTTGTCACAGCTTAAGCATGCAAACGACTGGTTGGACAAGCTAAGATGTAAGTCAACCTTGAATAAAGATGTGGCCGAGACAGTTGATAGATTGAAGCAAAAACTCTATGCATGTTTACTGCTTCATGTGGATTCAGCCGCTTCAGCTCTTGGAAAACCAAGTTTTTAAGAGTGACTGTTCTACTTACATCCTAATGAATTTATGCTGTTGTATGAAGCTATTTAAAAGGTCATTACTTAATGGTAACTAATCAGCTCATGTGACTAAATATATACTTAACTATTTCAATGTATTCGAAAAGGATGGAGAAAACAGTTAATTAATGAGTTACCTGAATTGCTCATTGTCTTGCCTTTATTGTAGCCATACTCAGATGCAGTGGCATAGCAGGACTTTAAGCTGGAGGGTCGGGGCACATGCAAAATTCTCAGAAGGTCAAACGTCCAAGTAATCCAGCATGTGCCCTGCTTCTCCAGCTTAAATAGCCGGCACCTTCATACATGTTGTAACAAGTTGCTAATGTTTTTGATGAACCACCTTCGGTTAAACATCAGTCTTTCTCTCTGAGGAGTAGGCGGAGTATCAACCAACCTTTTTGTTTCTTTAGCTGTTTGCTTTAGTAAGTTCAGAGAAGTGTTTGGCAATGCACAACATCGAGCAATTACTTGAATATATAGTATTAAGCTATTGAAACAGCCTCTCTACCTTCTCAAGGTAGGGGTCAGGTCTACATACACATTACCCCCCATACCCCGCTTGTAGGATTACACTGGGTATGTTGTATAGCATTAAGTTGTTCAGCAAAATACGTCCCACTAAGAATACCTACCAATACTTTTGTTGTTGGATAGTTGGTTGATCTTATTTACTGTTCTCTTTTTTTTCGCTTTGGAAATATAGTGTATTATTTATAGGAGCTTAACTTCTATATACTGATAGTCTAAAAGAATTTTATACTATAAAGTAGTTAAAAAGTAAATACATAACTGTCTATAAAAAGTGGAATAATCAACAACTAGGAAAATAAGGCAGGTTACCTTACCTGTTACAAAGAGTTAAAATACATTGACAATATATAAATTCTTTACATTTTCAGTATCTTCTAATAATCCAGAATGGCAGACAGACTGTATTTTTTGGCTTTGGTGACTGTTGAAGTTTGGCAGCCAAAAAAGGAAAGTATATTTCTGAGCAGATAGTCTACTGTTTCTTTGTAGCAAACAGCATGATCACTTTTATTCAGAAGCAAGCAAATGCCTATCACTCCTCTATCAACCCACTCACCCCGAAATTTATAAGGTGAATCCCTTGGAATACAATCCAATCCCAACCATTCAACAAAGGAAGAAGGTATAAAGTTGGTCGCCTAGAGATTACTTATAGCAACCAAACAACCCTCATAGCCTTCTATATTCGCAATATAATGCCTCAAATTTATCTTTCTCCCACTTTCATCATAAAAGATTTCAACACTTGGAGAAGCACACTTAGTTTCATAAGAAGTACCCACATAACCATCCATACCTCCGTTATGACTCCTTGTTCCTACAAAAGAAAACTTAAAGCGAGAAAGTTGGTTAGTCAAAAATAGGACCTCACAATTCACTCCCTTAGTGTTTCACTCAATATATGTGTCACTCAACACTCGTATTTACACTCAAAGGTCAAAGGCTTTTGCAACCTCGCTCGATTGAACTCACCACTCAAGCCTTTTTCCACACAAGGGTATCTAAAAGTTCTCTTCACAACCAACATTCCCAAATCAATCCAAGTAGGTAATCAAGTATCGATTCGGAACGGAATGTATGCGACACCAAAGAAAGCTCAATTAAAAAGTAACGGACTTGAGCCAAACAATTCACAACGAAAATAAAGAGAAAAGCACGAAAAATTGTCACGAAATAAACAAAGCACACAAAAGAAACTAGAATTAAACTCAATATGAACTAAATATTAAGTTAATCTAGTTAAAGAGTTTAGGTTACTACAACTTGGAGGAAAGAAAAGAAAAGAAACTACAAAACAAGACACTTTTGTAAAAAAAAAAAATTAAAAAAAAAAAGCGCAAAATTGGGTATTTCTATAAAACTGGTCTTCTTTGCAAGAATCTGGACTTTTTATGCAACACTGGTCAGTTTTGCAACTGCTAGAACTATTGCAGCCTCAACTTTAACTGTTCAACAACTAAAGTGTATCTTCTGGGCAGACGTAGCAAAGGCAAACTGTGTTGAACTTGTTCCAAAAATGCAGCTGTTCACCTATTCACCCTGCAGAATTAAGCAGCCCAAAGAAACTTCAGCAGAATACCAAACAGATGCGCAGGTCCTTAAACCAACAGATGCAGTAAGGGCTTAGAGCTTCAGCAGCTCAAACCATATTTCAGCTCAATATTCAGAGAATCAAGCAACTAGATTCAAACCCTTGACTGAATGTTCACCAAATCTGTTTACCACAGCTTCAAAACAACTCTGCACACTCTAGGGATAATTCTCAATAACAGTAGCTAACTTAGCAGACAAGCAATTGAGAACTACAACCTCAATTCCCAGAAATTGCAGTAATGTAACAAACTGCAGATAACTTCAATTGCTCCTAAACATCTTTTCAACTTGTAACTCAAAGCATGGTTCAAGACTAGAACGAGAAGCAGCAGCAGTTCTGAATATTTATATTCAACTGGGCAGATTTTGTTTGTAGTTGCTGGTTTGAATGCAAAAATGTGGACAGATTTGTAAAACAAGCCAAATTCGCAAAGGATGTGATCGGTAATTCTGGACAGATTCACAAACGCTAACAAAGTTTCAGACTGTTGTAATCCTTCTGAGCAAACCAACTGTGCAGAAATATGAAAGTGTAGAACCCAACTGAAACCAAACCAAGCTAAGCGCAAGACAACAGGAGAAGCAATTGAATCGGTTTATCGTTTTCTCACTTCTTCAGCATATTCACCCTGGAATAGCAGCAAACCAAACTCAAGCTTCTATAATGCAGAAATTCCAGGTTTTATAATGCAGAAATAACAACTCCAAGACTGCAGCTAATTGGCGCTAACATTGCTGCATAACTGATGCCAAATGCAGACTTCAAGTCTTCAACCAAAGAACAATCAGAGTTTTCAGTCAACCAAATGCAGCCCCAAATGTTGTCCAAAACTTGCAGATATTCAGCAGTCCAAATAGAGCAGAAGCAGTGCTGAAACTTGCAGCTGAAGCTGTGAAGAAATAGGGCAGAACTTACTGTAAAATGATTGTCCAAAACAGTAGAGCCCTCAAACAGCAAACATAGACAACCCAAGCTTCAACTTCAAACTATAACAACAAATTCAATTCCATTTGATACTCCATGAAACCAGCAGTAGCAATTTATAATCTCGGCAGAAATCAGTTTCAAAACAGCAGAACAGACATAAGACTAGCTTCACAAGGTTCAATTTCAGGATTAGTCTTCCCCAGATACAAGATAGATCAGCACCCTCAACTAAACTTCAAGGAATCAAACTCAAGATCGACAAAACTCATTTCGATCACAGTCACTAATCCCAAAAGAACAGATGGAATTTCAGCGCAAACAACCAAGCCCAAACTCGGAAGTTCAGTTCAAGACTCAGAAAATCAGAAACTAAAACTTTTCAAAACAGAACTCAACCAACTTCTCAACGGATTCTTCAAGTGCAGACTTCAGATGTTCAACAATTAATCAAATGGTAAAGAATGCGAGTCGAATTCGCTGATTCAAGTCGATTAATGTTAGTGTTTTAGCATTTTATTATTAAAATAAAATATATCATAACTCCCACTACTCCATGATGAGAAAATGGCTGTAACTCCCATAACTCCCACTACTCCATGATGAGAAAATGGCTATAACCCTTTTGCAACTCTTCTCCCATGTTCTACCACTAATTACACATGAATTTATCCATTATCCCATGTTCTCCATAATTTCATAACTTACCACCCCACTTTCTTCCAATTTAATTCAAGGAAGTATTTCTACACCTATAAATAGGAGTGTTTCTTCCATAATGTAGATGTGAAAAATAATTGACAGTGTTTCAATAAAGTAAGGTTAAAGTTGTGAAAAAGAAGAAGAGAGTTTTTACTTTTGTTAAAGGAAGGTGTTCATCTTGGTGGAGCTTTGGACTCGACAACTTGTCCAGAGTTTGTTCGAGTCATACGACGTGATCGGGTTGTTGTATCCTGGGCAGACAAGTCAAGAGGATTACTGCTGGACCAGTGAAGACTTTGCTGCAGTGGACTTGAATCTCCTTAAAGAGAGCGAGATATCCGCGTCTCAGCCTGAAGATTTCGTTATTCTAGTTTTCAACTGTAATTGTATTTTCACCAACAATTTTAAGGCGAATTCATATGGCTACAGCTGAAAAATCCGCGGATATCAAGGTGGAAGATCTCAACAAGCCATTTCGTTTCAACGGTACTCATTTCAAGAGATGGAAGGGTAAAGTCTTTTTTATTTGAGTCTTCTCAATGTTTCTTATGTTTTAACTGAGAAAAATCCAAGCAAAGTAGACAACTCCTACATGAATGATGATGAGCTAATTGCCCTTCAAGAAAAAATTGAAAAATATAACGATGATTCATACAAGGGTCGGTATTATCTTCTTAATTGTATATCTGATCATTTTTACGATTATTATGATAGAACATACTCTACTGCAAAGAAAATTTGGAAAGCATTGCAGAGTAAGTATGATACCGAGGAGGCTGGTGCGAAAAAATATGTTGCTAGCAGATTTTTACATTTTGAAATGGTGGACAATAAATCTGTAGTAGACCAGGCTCAAGACTTCATAATGATCGTTGGAGAGCTCGGGTCCGAGGAAATTAAAATTGGAGACAACCTTATTGTTTGTGGATAATAGATAAACTACCACCTTCTTAGAGGGAATTTCAAAAAACTATGCGCCACAAACAAAAGGAAACTTCACTTGAGACGTTGATAATGCGGATTCGCATGGAAGCAGAGGCAAGAGGCCAAGATGCACTTATGCAATCGGAAGAGAGCACTCTACAACCTTCATCAAAAAAGAGAGCACTCTACAACCCGTCACTACAAAGGTAAATTTAATTACTTCAAATAATATTACTCCTAAACTCACAAAAATACTTTTTTGAAGCCGAAGAAGATTTTTAAGAAAAATTATGGTAGACCTCCCAAGAAGAATAATGGTGCAAACAACCAAGCACAGAATCAACAAGTTCAAATTGTGAAACCATGTTTTGTTTGTGGCAAGAGTGGGCATATTGCTCGATTTTGCAAATTTCGGAAATATGGTCCTACACCACAGGCAAACGTTACCGAAGAGTCACTTGTGGCGGTGATAACAACATTAACATGGTAGAAAATGTTGATGAATGGTGGGCTGATTCTGGAACAACCGTCATGCTTGGTGATTCCATTTACAAGAAGCTTTATTGTCACGTGATGCTATTTTTTTGGAAAGAGGCTGTAAATGATGAAATTGAGTCGCTAATTTCTAATTAAACTCGGAAGTTGGTTGATTTACCACCACCAGTTGTAAAACAACTGGGTGCAAATGGGTCCTAAGAAAAAAGTTAAAACCGGATGGCTCGGTTGATAAGTATAAAGCTAGGTTAGTTGCTGAGGTTTTAAGCAACTAGAAGGCCTTGAATATTTTGATACTTTTTCTCCAGTAACTAGAATTACATCCATTAGACTTTTTAATTGTTATTGCTGCAATTTTTTATTTGCATATTCATCAAATGGATGTAAAAATTGCTTTTTAAAATGGGGATCTAAATGAAGAAATTTATATGGATCAACCCGAGGGTTTTATAGAAGCAGGCCAAGAAAGTAAAGTGTGTAAACTTACTAAATCCCTATATGGCTTGAAACAGGCACCTAAGCAATGACATGAAAAGTTTGATTCCTGCATGACTGAAAATGGTTTTAAATCAAATGAGTGTGATAAGTGCATCTATCATAAGTTTTGGAATAATTCACATGTAATTGTTTGCCTCTATGTTGATTATATGTTAATATTTGGCTAACATTAATGTTATTGGAAAAACTAAAAGCATGCTTAGTAGCAATTTTTACATGAAAGATTTGGGTGAGGCAAATTTAATTCTTGGAATGAAAATTACTAGAACATGTGACGGAACTTTTCTTGACCAGTCACATTATGCTGAGAAAATTTTGGGAAAATATAATTTTATTAATTGCAAGCATGTTGTAACCCCTTTTGATTCAAGTGTTCACTTATTTCCTGTACAAAGTGACAATGATGTGATAAATCAAAAGGAATATGCTAGCTTAATCGGAAGCTTGAGATATGTAACTGATTGTACTCGACCTGATATTGCATACGCAGTAGGAGTACTTAGCAGGTTTACAAGTAAGCCATGTAGTAAACATTGGCATGCCATAACAAGAGTTATAGGTATTTTCTTGGTACAAAAACCTATGACTTATTTTATAAAAAATATCCTGCTGTACTAGAAGGCTTTTCTGACGCAGATTGGAACACTTTATCTGGTGATTCTCGTTCTACTACAGGTTATATTGTTACTTTGGGAGGTGGTGCTATTTGTTGGAATAAAAAAAGCAAACAATAAATGCTAACTCTACCATGGAGGCTGGGCTAATTGCTTTAGCTTCAGCTAGTGAAGAAGGGAATTGGTTGAGAGATTTTATTTCAAATTCCTTATTTTGAAAAATCAATTCCATTTTAATTCATTGTGATAGCACCGATGCAATTGGTAGAGTACAAAACCGTTATTACAACGGTAAATCCAGACCTATAAAGGAGAAAACATGGTACTATGAGATCATATTTGACAAGTGGTACCATTAATGTTGATTATGTAAAATCTTGTGATAGTCTTGCAGATCCACTAACTAAGGCCTTAGCTAGAGAAAGGGTCTGGAGCACATCGAGGGGGATGGGATTGAAGCTCATAAGTCATATATGAGGAAACCCAACCTGGGGACTAGAAATCCTATAACCAGGTTCAATGGAAAGAACGAATCATATGATGGCTTGGTTTGAAATGCACTATTTTTTTATTGTTCCATCCCTATGGTATGAGCGCATTTATCCTGTAATGATTTGTAGGTTGAGTTTTATTAACTCGTAATGAAAATCTGTAGCTCGTATGAGTGGGGTGTTAGAGTTACAGGAGGACCCTTGACAGATTTCACCTATGTGAGTGGAAGTAGGCCGCTTCCTATGAGAATTAGGCTTGTTCTCAAAAACACTCATGAAAACAGGGATAGCACAAGGCCGTAATGTGCTGTCTAATAAAGCTCATGTCAACACCTTGATTATTATGTGTAAGTAATGAAAATTTATTTCCCTAAAACAATCATAGTTCAAGTTTGAGACCACTACTGACTCTGGAATAAAGATTGTTGTCTTGCTAAGTGAAGGTTCAATGCAGAGCACACCTTATTTATGCATAATAGTCTCCCTTCAACTGACAAACTCTCTTATTTAATACTCCCTCCGTTCCAATTTATGTGAACATGTTTGACTGGGCACGGAGTTTAAGAAAAAATGAGGACTTTTGAAATTTGTGGTCCTAAACAAGTTTAAACAGGGCCCAGATTATTTGTGTGGTTATAAAAGCTTCTCGTTAAGGGTAGAATTGTAAGTTTAAGCTAAATTGTTACCAAATTTTGAAAGGGGTCATTCTTTTTGGAACGGACCAAAAAAGAAATAGGTTCACATAAACTGGAACAGAGGGAGTATTAAAATGAGTGAGGGAATTTTAGTGTTTTAGCATTTTATTATTAAAATAAAATGTCATAACTCCCACTACTCCATGATGAGAAAATGGCTATAACTCTCATAACTCCCACTACTCCATGATGAGAAAATGGCTATAACTCTTTTGTAACTCTTCTCTCATGTTCTACCACTAATTACACATGAATTTATCCATTATCACATGTTCTCCATGATTTCATAACTTACTACCCCACTTTCTTCCAATTTAATTCAAGGAAGAATTTCTACACCTATAAATAGGAGTCTTTCTTCCATAATGTGAATGTGAAAAATAATTGAGAGTGTTTCAATAAAGTGAGGTTAAAGTTGTGAAAAAGGAGAAGAGAGTTTTTACTTTTGTTGAAGGAAGTTGTTCATCTTGGTGGGGCTTTGGACTCATCAACTTGTAGAGTTTGTTCGAGTCTTACGACGTGATCAGGCTGTTATATCCTGGGGGAGACAAGTCAAGAGGATTACTGCTGGACCAGTAAAGACTTTGTTGCAGTGGGCTTGAATCTTCTTAAAGAGAGCGAGATATCCGCGCCTCAGCCTGAATATATTTCATTTTCTTTATTTTAATTTTCAATTGTAATTGTATTTTCACCAACAATTAACTTAGAGAGATCAAGTCGAAATGCAGTTTAATAATCAAAGAATTCAAACCTGATTAGTTGCGACGATTCTCCTGCTCGAATCAATTCGAACCAGTCCGCAAAATTCTTCAAATTTGCAGCTGGTGTTTTTCGAAGTTCTTCAAGCTTGACTCAAAATTTTCTATGCAACCTCACTCAAATCTGCATCAGACGAGTTCAAATTTGATATACGAGCTCGATTCGACACAAAGAACAATTTTGGAATCAATTTTGAATAATAGTTCAGGAAATCAAAGGAATCCCAGCTCGTCTTCTTCGTCAAATTAACTCCAAAATTTTGACCGAGACCACTTCGAACAAGGCTTCAACACTCCCAAACTTCGAATACAAATTCTCAACACCAATTAGAACAAAACCACAAAATCTATTTCTAGAAACAATGACGAAATCCACAACCCTAGGTCACCTTCTCCGTATAGAAGCAGCTTCGCAAAATTTCGAACCCAACCCTAGAAATTCAGCTCAAATCGATCTCAAATCTTCAGATTCCACCTTGTATCAGTGTTTCCAACTAAAATCTCGAACACCCAATCGATTTTGAACTAGAATCCTCAGCGAAATTCAAATCTGAGCAAAGCCCAGAAACCCGAAGTCGCAAATGGAGTGGAATTCGAACTAGACCCCAAGTAACCAACGATTTTCAACTGTTATCAGTGGATTCAACAATTTTCGGACACAAAATTTGACAGAGAGATAAAAAAAACTTCTGACATTTTTGGAAATAAGCAATGAACAACAGTAGGATTTCCGTTTTAGAACACAGATGAACAGTAATCCTACCATTTTTTTTTGGAAATTTTCGTTTTTCAATTTTTTTTTATTTTATTTTCTGATTTGTTGATAATCAAAATCCAAAACCTCTAATACTATGACTTGAAAATTATCCTTATTAAGCGTGCTCATGACACTTTACGACTACAATACTAGGTCAACAAATGTTTTATGTTGTTAGATAGCTGCATTTAGTGACAATTGACAAAGAAACAAAACAACATTTACTAGATAAAATTGCTTTTTCCGTCAAAATCAAACACACAAAACAAAAAAAGGTTTAAGAGTTTAAAATATCTATCTCTTTGTAAGCCAGTAGAGTAGTTTTTATTTTTATGTTTTTTGGGCGTAAAATAAGTTTAAATGGGGCGACGTAAAATGGAAGGCGTAACTATTATTGTTGTTGAACATTTTGAGATGAAAGCTATATTTTAAGTAGTTTTCATAAGGATTGGAGTAGGCAGCCGTCATAAGATGCAAACGGAGGACACTTCTTATAACATATTGCAACTATAATTATCCTTACTCGCTGGATGATCGTCACAGAATGATGAATATCATTTTATCTGCCATAGTAAAACAAAAGAAAGTAACAAGTGTATATCGCCAATAAAGGCACATACAACACATTAATTTTCTACATATAAGGAAAATTAAGTCCTTTATGCGATATCAATAAATGCAAAAAATAACTCGATTTAGATATGGCCGTCAATGGTTCGGTTCGGCCGGTTATTTTATAAAATTTGTACCATACCGATTTTTCGGTTATCTATTATGGATAACCAAAATTAGATTTTTCGAAACCGTACCAATCATATCGGTTTCTCTTCGGTATCGGTACGGGTCGGTTAATTTTCGGTATTTTTGTAAATATCATGTAAAATTCACCAATATAAGTAGAATGTAATAACATACGTTCTTTTATAGGACTTAGCACAACTCTTTAGATATTTTTACTATTTGGAGGGTGATGAATTAAAAAAAAATGAAAGTTAACTAGAGTATAGATCCATCAGCTATTATATAACAACGTAGAAGAAACCAAGCAACGGCAAAGAAAATATAAATCACACAAGTAGAAAGATATTAACCAAGCTAAAACTCTAGAATAAAGTCTATAGAAGATTAAATATTCAAAAAGGTATATCTAAATTATATGAAAGGAATTATATTCAATACATTGTAGTTTGCTACTCGTAATCGCTAGAATACTATGTGTTTTGCTAATAAAGATACTTGAAATAACTTAGTTTAAGTAGAAGTAGCATAATATATAGGTTGTAGGAATTAATATTTTGAGTTTAGTTGCTTGTTGGCTTGTAATAGTTTTCATAATTCCAAGGCCAAAAGAAAAATTTAATGCAGTATTATTTTTAAACTTACCAGATAAATATATTTTCCACATGTAAAATTTATTCTGTACGGTTCGGTATTTTTTCGGTTTTTATTTTTATAAAATAAAAAACCAACCCTAATTATCGGTGCGGTTATAGATTTATATAAAAATCTACGGTTTCTTAAAAAGAAACCTAAAATTCGGTTTGGTGCGGTACGGTTCGATCAATTTAGTCGGTTTTCGAATATCCATTGTCACCCCTAGATTTAGAGACTACGTTTTGGATGGGTAGATGAAACATTGTTTACTTTTACAAGTAAAAGGAGCTACTATATATTTCTGTGTTACTTATTGTAATAAACCAAATATCGACCAAACCAACTGGCTATATTGATTCACTAAATTGAATTACAATCAACTGGAATTTCCAACGAAATAGTAAAAAGGATAGCTGCAAGATAACAGAAGGGATGAGAAGCTAGAAATACACCATGGAAGAAGAAGATGAGAAGCTTGGATAGAAATAGATGAGAAGTACAGAGCTTTTCACCTAACATTTGCCTAATCCTCCAAACCCAGACGATGACCCTTTTTACTCACTTCGTCACGTGCTTCCTTAACCCGGATCCCAGACAAATCTCTTGTTGGGCTTTCTGATTCTTGGGCCTCTTCGCAATTTAGCCCCTGGCCCAACAGCCTCTGTCCAAATAACTGGCCCATACATATCATTTGAGTTATCCTGGTTCACAACAATACTCCTGCCCTCAAAAAAAACCTTGTCCTCAAGGTTCGAATAGAGCCGCACTAACTTTATGTTAGTGAATCGGTCACGACTTGAACATGCGTCAAGAGCTGACCAATGTCTTTCAACCTTAAGAATTGATGAATCAATTCCAGTGCCCTTTGCCAATTCTAAATTACTAAGAGGAAGAACATAAGCCACAAATCTAAAAATTGCACCCTGCTCCTTCACTCTAAGTGCACCAATTTCCATTACCTTCTTTGTACCAAGAGAGCCATGAGCACCAGTAACACTTACTAGTTCATAGCAATAAGACTGATTGAGGTAGTCAAATGATTCAGGATCCCCCAACCTACACTTTTTCTTCTCTTCAAGAATTAAACATAATGATTCTTGAGATCTTTCAAGGAGGAACGTTCCCTTTTCTGCACTAGATACTCTTCTAGACTCGCCAACCCGAGTCTCGATTGTCCGTTTGTACTGTTTTGGCATTGCTAATTAGTTCAAGCACTGGATTTGACTCAAGAATTTGTTGGTCCCTACTGTGCTCTGCAATGCTTATACAGCCACCAAAATAGGCTCGATAACACATAAGCCTCCAAGTAGTTGTAAACTTTCCAAGTCTAATGTTAGGACCAACCAAGATAAAAGTGCCTTTACCCTCAATTATCATTGTTCTGAGAACAACATCAGCAACAACAATTGAAGCTATTTTCATCAAATCAACTTTTACATCATCTAAAAAAAAACATTTTCCATCATAGTCAAGCTACAAGTATGTAGTGCAGCAAACTCACACAATGAAGAATCGGGCAGGAACTCAATAATTCTGTTACTAGGATCTAAAATAGATTGTAGTATAAAAATAATGAAGTCATCGGCACCACATCTAGCAACTACTAATGCAAAACTAGTTAGCAAACAGGATGAATGGATACCCAATTTCCGTCCAAGATCCCACACTTGAGTCATAGAGTTAGCATATCTAATGAAGTAAAACTTGCCAGTAGATCCCAACAATAGTAGTGCCGCAATGTTTACTGTATAACTTGTTAGAGCTATGTACTTGGAACGTATTCCTGGATCCCATACAAAAAGATTCATCGCAGGTTGTTGAGCTTGAGCCATTAAATAACAATCAGTTGTTTTTGCATGCTGAAACTTAATATTTCTACAAGGTGAAATAGAAAAGTTAGGAAAAGGGACATTTTGGTTGCAGCTAGGCATATTATTCTCAGTTCCACCACAGCAACAACTCATCCAGTCAAAGAAAATTTGCTCTTCACTCAACCTAGACAAAGCACAGTAATCCAAGCTTGCTAAGTCCATAAGAGGCCAAAGCTTAACCATCTCTTCGTTAACATTCATTCCCATAAGGACACTGTTAGTAGACCAAATGCCAATCGCAGTAGTGTACTTTGTTGCTCCAAATATAAGCTCTGTCGCTCTATAATACTGAGAGCATATGTGAGAAATATTTAGTTGTCTTTCAACCAGAGCTTTAACATATCCCAGTCACATAGATTAACCAGAGGAGCATGGAAATCCACCAAAAGATTGTGATGATTAATGTCTTCGTGAATTATGCCGATAGTGCGACGAATGTAGGATAATACCCAAAAAGCCCAGAATGTGTAAAGATTCACAAGTAAGAGAGTGTGTATAGATGTCCTAGGTTACAATGGAACAACCAGGGGGCGTCCATTGGGGGTTGCCATGAACAAATTCACACCGGGATCAAATTGCAATTGATTCAAAAGCATAGATCATTGGAGATAGAATCAACATGACACTCTAATATCCTAATAATCTGCTTGAAATCATCCACAACCATGACTGAATAGTATGTTGCAGCGCCAACAAATGTGGTGAAAAAAAACCAAAACCAAGAACAAATGAAAAGTCTGGCGAAGTAGACTTTGCTTTATAAACTAGACCACACATCGCAAGCGACAACCTAACAGCTTTATGGGCCTGAATATTTGGGGACTGCTTGGAGTAACTTTCAGCAAATGTACGGAGTAATCCCTGTATATTCTCCGCCATAGTAGGTTCATGTGTTACAGACAATAAGAAACCATGAAATCTTCTCTCCTGTCCAGTATCAACCAAATTGCATTTGTGTAGGTTAACATCGTGGTGATGGAACAATATATTTTGATTAGCACTAGCAAATGGAAATGCTATCCCAGGAAATTTCCCAATAGCATTCGACATGACATATCCTTGTCTAGCAAAAGGAATTTGATAACTAGTTATATCCGTTAGAGGAGAAATTTCTATTACCGCTGCATTGTCTCTTGCATTTTTCTCCTCTTTATTTTTAGATTCCAGTAGTTTAGTCACATTACAATTGCAACCAGTTAAACCTACTAAGGAAGGAACAGAGTTTGACGAAATACTGATCTGATTAACTAGAACCTCAGAAGTAACCTTGGTTTTCAAGGTCTCAGAGTGAGACTGGTGCGTGTTGCCATTTCCCTGAGAGCCTTCATCAAACACCTAGACCTCCTCTGATTTTGCATTGTTTAAAGCAGATTTCGTTGTATTAGTAAGGACTTCTATATCTGATCGCTCAGTAGCAAAGACCTTAGAACAACAACATCCATGTAGCATATTATCGAACACCTGGGCTTCAATTTCAGTAGAATATTCCTTGATTGTAGCCATGTGACCTTCCAGCGATTTGAGATGCTGTTTACGAAAACGAATTCGCGCCTTTGCGACAACGTGTTCCCAATCCTTCAATTGCTTGTTCCGGAGAAGCCATCGGAACCAATCCAATGCCTCACCTTCGAGATAAATAGGCGCGCGTAATAATTTGTTATTTTCTGATGTGCCGTAGAATTCAAAGTAGCGTTCAACCTGAAAAATCCATAATTCTGGATCCTCGCCGCTAAATCGTTGGAATTCCACCGGAGTAGGCTTACTCGTTGCAAGATTTTCAGCCAACTCATGTAACAATGAACGAATTTCAGCGATATCCTTGGACCACGAATCCTTCACGACCTTAATTGAATCATCGATAGTTCGAAATATTTGGTCCTTCATTGAAGACTTCTGGATGAAAGAACCAATGTAATAAACCAAATATCGACCAAACCAACTAGCTATATTGATTCACTAAATTGAATTACAATCAACTGGAATTTGCAAGGGAATAGTAAAAAGGATGGCTGCAGGATAACAGAAGGGATGAGAAGCTAGAAATACACCATGGAAGAAGGAGATGAGAAGCTTGGACAGAAATAGATGAGAAGTACAGAGCTTTTCACGTAACATTTGCCTAATCCTCCAAACCTAGACGATGATCCCTTTTACTCACTTCGTCACGTGCTTCCTTAACCTGGATCCCGGACAAATCTCTTGTTGGGCTTTCTGATTCTTGGGCCTCTTCGCAATTTAGCCCCTGGCCCAACAGCCTCTGTCCAAATAACTGGCCCATACATATCATTTGAGTTATCCTGGTTCACAACACTTATGAGGGTGTAGATTAAACTTACCACAAACTTAAGGGACCATTGTCTTTTTTTTTCTTCTGAAATTTCCACTACTTAAACCAAAGAGCACACGCTGAACAGCTTTTGCCGAGGTCTAAATAAAAACCTTTTTTAACGTTTACCCCCCAAATCTATGCAAAACCCTCTTCTTTGCCCGCTTCCCTGAATCCTGTATTACTCTTTTTAATTACAAAAATCAACTGAAGAAAATTCAAAAACTTCCAATACAACCGAAGATCGGGAAGTACATCCATCGATAAACCAACGTAGGAGTCAAGAGTCAAGACGCCTATGATTGGTAATTTGATCTGTCACAGATTTAACGTTTTTTTCTTTTATTGCCATTTATTTATGTCAATGTGCTTCGTTTACCTAAATTGTTGAGTATTCTGATGAAATGAGTCCCACAAGAACGAAATTGATAGAGAGGATTCAAATACTAGTATTCATACAGTTCAATCGGGACTGAAATCGCCTGCTAATTGTTCTTTTTTTGTTCACATTTGATCTTCTTAATCATCTTTTTTATTTTAATTTAAATTTTATGGAACTTCTGTAAGTGAATCTTATTGCATGTGTGAAATGTTAGGTTACATTTGCAAAAGTGTTTTTGGTCTAAAGATAATTATTCTGCAATTTTTTTCCTCAATGATGGTGGTATCTGGGCCAGATTGTGAGCACCTTGACTATTTCATTATGTACCAGCTATAGGCAGATTGGATGAAATAACCTAGTATTTTTTTGCCTCTGTTGGGATTTGAACTTGAGACTTGATGGTTCTCCTGCCACTTCATTGACGACTAGCCAGACCGCGATTCTGCAACTAAGTTCACAATGTTGTGCATCTTGAATTATGTACTTTACTACGTCTGATTCTAAGTTGCTCGGACACAGGTGCGGGTGTCCGACACGGGTGCGGATCTAGAGGTCGGATCCTTTGAGACGTAAATTCTAAGATTTGGGGATACGGATCCTAGTACGGATATGGGTGCAGTGATCCGGCTAAAAATAATTCGAAAAAATAAAAATACAAAAATATCTCTAAGTTATGAGAAATTTTGTAGTGTGGATTTCTTTTTTATTTTCAAGTTATAGATAAGTAAATGATTGATTTCCTAGATATGGTATGCTATTTGTTCAAATTTACCCTAGTTTTGGTTCTGATTTCGGGAATCAACCGTGGTCAAAGTACCCAAATTTGTTTGACCAAATCCGGTACGGATCCCATACCCACACCCATACTATTGTCGTGTCTACACGGGTGCGACACCTAAATTGCCGTGTCGGAGCAACTCAGCGCCTGAATCCCCGACGATTTGGGGTCAACTTTATGAATCATGTATATTTGTTTTGCTCTATGCGGACTCACTTCATTCCAACACTAAGGAATTTGTCTTCCAGAGCAAAATAGAGGTTCTCTAAATTCTAGGCAAAACTGAACCTAGTGTAAATCTAATGACATCATACTATGTTTTTATCCCAATTAGGATGTGCCGAATTATGCAATTTTATTCTGTTGAGTAATATTTGAGGAATATAGCTCATTTTAGTAGGTCTTTGATAAGTTCAAAGAGGAAACTGTTTTGGGGTGAATTCTTTTTATGAAATTTTAAATAGCTTCAACTTGCCATGGGTCGAGGTGAGCCCTTAAATTCTGCAATGCATTTGCTTTCTCGAAAATTTGAATTCATTATACCTTGTTATTTTCTATAGTTAAGTTACACAAAGGACGATAGGAGGAGGGAAAGCTGCTTCATTCGGGGAGGTGATTGACATGCTCATAGGTTAATGGAAAGTTATATTCAGAGCGTATAATGCATAAGTTATTATCATTTGTGGGAGTATGTTATATAAAGTGGGAATTACAAGATATTAGAAAATTGTTGGACTACAGCGTCGCAAAGTTGTAAGGAGTGTTAAATATCTCTAGAAGTCCTAATCTGAAGTTCTGAACAACATAATTTTTCAACTTACTCTGCACATTTGAATCATTATATCAATTTGATCTCAATCGCCTCTAATTCCCTTAGGAATATTGGATTTTCTGATCAGTATTCATACACTCTACGTTTTAGATGATTTTATCTTGTAGAGTGCCTTCAAAGTCATACATCTTTGCTAACTTTGAATGTTTTATTTGGATTAACGTAGTAGAAAGTCATTGGATTGAAGTTATAGTCTCTGAATGAGAGCAAAAGTCATTGGATTCCAAGAGATAAAGTAAAAGAATAAAATGCATCTTACAGAAGCTACTCGCTATGTTTTTACTCTTGCACAAAAAAAGCCTGAGACTTATTGGGACCTGAAAGTAGGAAAGTCCCATAAAAAGGCCTTGTTGGAATCAACTGTCCATGGACTTGTTGCACATGTGACCTACTGAAAGCTTGGAACTATGCTATTAGATGGGTCAAACAGAAAAAATGGTGGAAGATCATGCCAGCCTGCATCTGGTGGACCATTTGGAAGGAAAGAAACAACAGATGTTTTGAAGATAGGAGTAATTCTATACAAGTAGTTAAAATGAATTGTATTTTATTTTGACTTTCGCTGTAAAGAGTTTTGTGTAGGAGATAGAAAATCTATTCTACAATTTGTGGAAGCCTTGTGAAGTTCACAAGGGCTGTAGCTCGTAAATACTGTTGCCAGCATATTCTTGGTGCTGATGTATAAAATGTTACCATTAAAAAAAGAAATAGAAAGTATGAACTTATTTGTAACATTTCCTGCTTCAAATCTGCAAGTTTAGCTCTTACCTTATTGTGTTTGCTTGTAGTTGTATGCTTGTGGAGGAAAGATGGTGAAATTGACAATGGTTGCTCGTGTGACTGATGGTCTTCCTTTAGCTGAGGGGCTGGATGATGGTCGTGATGTTCCAGATGCAGATTTCTATAAGCAGCAAGCCAAGTCCTTGTTCAAGAACCTCTCTATGGGCCAGATTGACGCATCAAGGATGTCTGTGGAAACTGGGCCTTATATTTTCCAGTATCCTTTTAGTATTTTGTTTCATACATCATCTGTTTCGATGTTACCGGTGTGTTTACATCTCTCGTTGCCATGCTCATGGAAGTTTCTCACATAGTTACCTTTTATTTTATTTTATTGTGAGATGGTACAAGCTAAGAAACAGAGTGGTCTTTTCCAGATAACTTCACTAAATCTTATATTCAACATTATGATGTGTAACAACTTCCAGCTCAGAGAAAGACACAGAATTTTGTTTATGCACTTGTGAGTGGGACTGCATTATTTAATTTTTGTGTTTTATTTTTTGGGTGGAAGGGGGTTCCATTAGAGACTCCCTAATGAATATTCAAGAATTCAATGATTTGTCCCCTCCCTTTTTGTTTTTGAACAGTTATTGGGGAAACAACAATTTGGTATACGCTTGAGTATATGCTTAGCATCTGTAGTTATTTTTGCAAAAGTTAGGGACAACTGGGAATTTTCATGATATAAACAGAAGTAGTATAACTACCGAGGGCTTCTCTGGCTTCTTCTTGGGTGGACTGGACCGAAATTTAAGAGGAAACAAAAGACAGGCCCTCATCTGTACAAAGTCAATTTTCTCCTTCAAATCTCTGGCTTCTTCTTGGGTGGACTGGACCGAAATTTAAGAAGAAACAAAAGACAGGTCCTCATCTGTACAAAGTCAATTTTCTCATTCAAAGACTGCCGTTATTCTTTCCCTTCAAAGTACCCAAATAATAGCCAAAGGGATGAAGGGGGCTCCAGCTTAATGCTTTAGATGAGCTAAGGGGATCTTTCTTGTTTTCCTATTGGAGGACTCCTTGCCCTTAGCCCCTTACCATATATCCTCTCCTTTTCTCTTTCAATACAATTCTTTTTTCAATCTAAAGTAAACAAGTAATAATCTGAATGACATCTAACCTTGGATTTGCAGAAACTGGTAAATACATTTAGAAAAGGAGAAGCTGAACAATAGGCATGATGCATTTTGTACATATCATATAACTGTGAGTCTGTTTTCTGCTTTTGGTCATGGTATGCACTTTATCTATTTAAGCATTATGTTATCCATTTTCCAGATTAAAATAGCAGGTTTAAGCTTATAGATGGAAGTATGATTTATTGAACAAAATCTCAGGATTTTCTTTCCAAGTTACACATATGATTGCGCTAGGCTTTACAAAATAAACATACTTAACTGCTGCTTGTTTTATACTAAAGCTTTCTTTCCACCAACTAAAAGTAAGGTGTTCTCTGGGGATTCAGTGATCTCTTAACTCATGAGCTCAGTTATATCATTGAAGGCCGTGTTTGTTATTTGACAATGTGTGATCGCTCTTATCCCAAGAAACTTACCTTTCAATACCTGGAAGATCTTAAGAATGAGTTTGAGCGTGTCAATGGGAGTCAAATTGAAACTGCTGCTAGGCCCTATGCTTTTATTAAATTTGGTATGGTCTTACCTTTACTTTATTCTTTTCTAATTTCGAATTGGTCTTCTTTTGAATACTAATTTTTCTTCTTCTTGCAATTTGTAATTTTTCTCGGTTCAAAAGATACATTTATACAGAGGACAAAGAAACTGTACCAGGACACCAGAACTCAGCGCAATATTACAAAGTTGAATGATGAACTTTACGAAGTTCATCAGATAATGACTCGAAATGTACAAGATGTTTTAGGTGTTGGTGAAAAGTTGGATCGTAAGTCTCTCATCCCAATATTTGCCTGATCTCATTACCATCCCATAATTTTGGAAAGGTTTGTTGTGCTAACCTTAGCACTTCCTCATTCATCTTCTAAACATCTGCGAAGTTACTGATGCTTAGTGTTCTGCTATAATTCAGCCCTGAAAGGCTACCAAATACTGTCTGACAATTTCTTTATTCACTAGTATTTTATGCTATTACTTTGCTTTTTAATATTTTAGCTTATTTGTCATCCTGAAATATTAATTAGAGGTAATGCCTATTTGTTATGACTTGTGAAGTATTCGTTCCTCCTTTTTTCTCTCCGTTGTTTACACCTGGAAAGCAAAATTCTATACTCGTCATTTCCGTGATCATAAGGCTACCAAATTAAAGCCTCCATGTATTTCTTGTATTACCTCTGCCTTTTCCTCCAATTGGCGTATATTTGTCAGATGAGCTGTTATCCTTGAAGTCTTTATATTCTCAAAAGTATTCACAAAGTCTATGCTGTTTGTGGTGCAAAAGGGTGGGCCAAAATCAACCTTTGTCAAATTAAAGTTAAGAGTTGCGTCAATTTTGACATTTTATTGCATCACAGTAATCGAAAGCGCAACTAAGAACAGAATGCGATGGAAGCAAATGGTTCATATAACTGATTCCAACTCATTTGGATTAAGGCTTATTAGTTATATCACATTAGTTCATGTGTTTGTGAGGAGTCCTGTTATTATAGTTGGAGACATGTACATCCTTTTAGGAATAAGTGAGATATAGAGAACTTCTAGTTTTGGAGAACTCTTAATTTGTCTTAAAAGACATTATTTAATTTTTCTATAACCGAGAAATCCCGAGGGCCAGTTGGAATGAAATAAATCTGAATAAAGCGGAATGGTGCAGAGAATTATCTGTTCTTAGCTTCTTATCAGTTTAATATCTGATATGTGGGTCATCGGCTCACACGATATTAACTCAATTTTTTAAGGGGGAAGGTCCACTAGGGTAGCTTGCTATCCGGTCCTTCGCGCGTCGCCTAGGCGTTGCACTACAGTCTAGGCCTTGCGCACCGCACCTAAAAAAAAAGAGATTTATTTAGTTTAACCCAACTAATATGAGAATCAGGAATAGTTGATTGATTGATATAAATCCAAACACATGTTTCTCTGTCAGTCATAAGACTCAAAGCTTTAATATCGATCAGCAAATACTCTTGCTATCATGTATCATTTGTCATGTAGTTGGTTCTCTCTTTTTTCATCCTTCTTATTTTCATGGGATTATATCCTATAGTTTATGTTTGATATTAGAGATTTGATTGTTCAAATATGAATTTCTGCAGAAGTCAGTCAGATGTCCAGTCGCTTGACATCAGAATCCCGCATATATGCTGATAAAGCAAGAGATTTAAATCGCCAGGTTAGTGCCATGGAAATTTAAGATAATGTGCTCATATTCTTGGCAGGAAGTGTACTTTCCACTTTTCATTAGTCAGAATGCAAAGTGGTGATGTAGAAGGATTTCAAGTAACATGAAACTTGGGATTTGTTCTTTACGTTCTAATGCACACACAGATTCATATCATGTAGGATGTCACTGTAGAAGATTATGGGGCTCGATCTCCAGTTGATTGTGGATGGATATTTTCTATCGTTGAACGGACCATTTGGAGGCCTGTGGTTAAGAAATAGGATGGAGAAATGTTAAACCATGATGTATCACCATTGAGGACTTCTGTTTCTTGCCATTACTCCTCGAAACTTGCACTTGCTTCAATCTCATTTGTGCTTAGACTAGGACAAACCAACAGAAAATGGGAATGAAATTTTGCCCCCGTCTGGTTCTAGTTTTAGGTGTCTTGTTAGATCCTTGCACTAGCATAAACATGTAGGCATGTATCAGATTTGCTTCCTATCTTATCATGGAATACGTTGTTTAGTTTTTATATCTGCGATTACTTTAATATACTGACTCATATCTTCATAACTTAGGCTCTGATTCGGAAATGGGCTCCTGTCGCTATTGTCATTGGAGTTGTCATTCTCCTCTTCTGGGCGAAAAATAAGATTTGGTGATTCTGCCATCCCACATGCAGTTTAGAGAAGTGTTATTACTCTTGATTACTTCCTGATTTTCCAGCATCAAACTGTGTGGCAACAGATAGACCACTTAACATTTCAAAAGGTGGCTGCCGTGTTGTCTGCGCAATGAAGAGATTGGTTTTTTGCGGATGTGACACCCAAGTCCCAAGCTATGAGTTTGATAATGTAAAACAGAGATAGACCTTGATGAACAATTTTGGTATACTTTGAAAAATGATACTAATCTCAGGTCTTCTCAGCATATTTTGCATATTATTACATAACTTTAAAACTTGAAGTTGCAACATTTTCTTGTATCTGAGGGGATTGGTTGCAACATTGTTATATAGAAATACAGTATAAAAATTGCAGCGTCTGTATTTCGTTTTCCCCCCTTCCCCACTTATACATGCAACTGAAGTTGTGTTTATATCGACGGACGGATCGATCGGTAATTAATTAGTACGTCAAAGCAAGGAACCCTCAAATATTGTGCAACATTTCCCAGAAAATCTCGTGTGTTGTGCAACGGAAAATGCCTTCTAACTTGTATATCTTGTTAGCTACTTATTTTGATCGTTGGCGTTGCATTGGACTTTCTGACTGAGAGAGTTATACTCCAAATAGTTCAAATTTGGAATGGTATTTTGCTTAAAGGTTCCTGGCTCCCCTTTTCCATGTATTTGTTGTTACTAATAGACAAGATAGGAGTTCATGCCAAATCCGTCACAACAGCGCCGATTTAACTGAAATTAAGTTCGCCATTTCTCGGATATGAAGGTTTCGCCTGCTTTGTCAAATTAGCCAATTCTCCTATTTCCTCAAGGTGGTATTATCTAGTCCATCTGATATCATTCTCCTCTTCTGAATATTTCACATCTTGTTTGCCACTCATACAATACAATTAGTCGATTTTTGCCTCCATAAGGGAAAATCTATGACTTTATACAGTAGTTAATAAAGCTGCTAGCCCGAATTTTCCGCAAAATCTTACTAGCTTTACGCAAGATCAACCAAAGAGAGCATTCTTGCCATTCATTCGGACAAAACACCATTAGGCGGGTTAAAGTAACCAAAAGTCAAATGATATTGTAAACCACTCTCAAAATAAGAGTCTGAAAAATATATATTTTTTTGTGTGTGTGTATATATATATATATATATTTGAATATTTTATACAAAAAATATATAAATTTTATATGCTTTTACGGCTACCAGATATAAATAATTTTAGCCGTGAACTAAAGTGACCTTTGCCCTAATGAAAAAGCTCCTCATGGGTGTGGAACATCCTCAAAGGAATTTACTTGTGCCTTTGAGTTTAACTTTACTAGCTTCTTGAAAAGGAAAAAGAACAAAGGACTTGGACATTTGCCCTTGTAGTGAGAAATATTGACCAAAATAGATGTAATATTTTGGGAGGCCAAAAGTTCTGGCTTAGCCAAATTTTAATGAGGAAGAACTGTAATGTGACCCTCGCATGTTCAAGTTCCATAGCGCGATAAATTTCTTTGGAGCAGAGGACCTGTATTTAGAGTAGTTATTGAAACAAGCAGCGCCGGCTTAAGGGTGAAGCGGATGAAGCCAAGCCACCGCTTGAGGCCTCAAAATATAGAAGGCCCCAATATATTATTATTATTATTATAATAATAATAATTATTATTATTATTATTATTATTATAAATTACCATTTAAGGTCACAAAATATATATTTTTTACTTTTTCAAATATGGTTGAAACTATTCTACTGAGTGAGTAGATTATAGAAAATTTATTTCTATTTCATTATTTAGAACGAAATTTATTCCCTTCATTTCATTTTCTTATTATCTTGTCGTTGTTACTGCTTATTGCTACTGATTTCTTTTCATCTTTTCTTGAGCTAGGAATCTATTAACTCTGCCTTCTAGGTAGGGGAAAGGTCTGCATACACTCTACCCTCCCTAGACTCACTTGTAAAATTATACTGAATTTGGTATTATTGTTGTTGTTTGTTATTTAGTATATTTTTTCGCTTCCTTCTTCAACTCTAATTTTTTCTTCTCTAGGCACAACAATTTCATTTTTTTGTTTCTGACCATTTTCCTTTATAATTTTAGCTCTTCTGAATTAGTTATTATTATTTTATCTTGTTTGATTGGTCTATCGATCATAAAGTAAGTTTTTTGTGGCTCATTAGTTATTGGGTATAGGATTTTATGAAATAAGCTTATGGGCCTTTTATTATGGTTTGGCTTTAGGCTACCTAATTCATTGAGCCGCCCCCGGAAACAAGCACATTATTTCAATAAGGAATTTTTACCTCCTATAGCATAGGTTAACACCTTATTTATTTTAAATAAATACCAATTAAAATAAATTATATTTTGTAGATACCTTTTATGGTTTATAGCAAAATTTCTAATTTTGGTTATCTCCTACACTTAAGTCACTAAACATGTTATTTTTTATTTTTCTCTCTCATAATTACCGTATTTCATAAAAACTTCTCAATACACGTTCTTTCTCTCTCTATTTTGATACACTCTATTCTCTTTCTCATTCCCTGTAAACACGCTCAAAAGCAGAGAAACCTCTCGCCCACACCGCTTCCTTCTTCCCCAATCTCGGTATAAACCCTGATTTCCTCTCGTTTTTTGTCATTTGTTTCTATAATTAGTGTAGTAAGTATTTAAATTTTTTGATTTTCGCTATTTTTGCTTATTCTCAACATCTCTACTCACCAAGTTTTCTCTAATCAACAGTATCCAAGCGTATTCTCACAATGTCTGATTCAACACCCCGCAAGTTGATTACCAGAGGTATACCCACTAAAATTCTCACTTTCGATGGGCCTTCTTTCTCCTTGCAAATCACTCAAGGGGAATTGGATGCAGGTTTAGCCAAAAATATGGCATTGGAGAAGAGAACAAAATCTTGCCATGACAATTTCAAAGAAACCCAAGTTGAGAAATCATTGAAAGAAACAAGACTTCCCATTGCGGAAAAAAGGAAAAAACATATTTCTGAAGCTTTATCTGTCAAGGGGAAGGAGGTTGAAGCAAGTAAAAGCTCGGATACACTGGAAGAAAAGGTAATTTCTGATGTATTCATCTGTATTGTTGATGTATTCATCTGTATTTATATGTATAAACATGTTGACTTCTCTGTTTTTTATGTATATACATGTAGATGTATTTAGATTTATTCAAAAAGTATATTCAATGTATTTTGTACTTACAGAAATCAATGATACAAATATGTATATGCATTCTGATGTATACAAATTGACTTTTATTGAATTGTATGTTGCATAATGCATTTAGATTTATTTAGATGTATTCAAATAGTTCTTTCACTATTTTTTACATACTAGACTGACCTTTTCATATAGCATTTAGTTGTATTTATAAGGATTTTTAAAGTTCCTATCACTGTTTTATTCTAATTGCAATGTCTTATTTGTTGTATGTGTATGTATTATATATGTACATATATTTCGATCACTGACTTCTTACTCCAGTTTATTTTTGCAGTTTGTATTTAGTTGTATTTATATGCATTCATATCAGTTGTATTATAAAATATGTGTTGTATTCAGTTATTTATATGTATTTATTCTTGTTAAATGCAGGAAATTAAGCTGTTTGTGAAAAAACAGCCTATATTTGCACCCTATATCAGTGTATATACTAACACAGACATAGTCTCCGACCTCAAAGAAAATCTTACTCCAGAGCAGTACAAACAACTAGTAATATTTGTTTTGGAAGTTTCCTTCAAATGAAGCGTTGTGAAGTCCAACATCAAGTGTTCAAATGCTTCATGGTTCTGCAGTTAGAAGGAAGTCCTGACGATGTATTTTTAATATACATCAATGGTACTACATTATCTTTCTCAATAAGGGAGTTTGCGCTTGTGACTGGCCTCAAATGTGTTGGTAACCCTGCTGACAGCTCAATGAAAAGGTTCCTAACCGGATTGTTGAGACATACTTTGACGGTGCCAATCTTGTCAAAAAGAAAGATCTGTTGAAATGCTTTGTTGACAAGAATTGGGGTCAGAACAACGATGGGGATGCCTTAAAGATAGCTGTGTTGTATTTAATACAAACTTTCATCTTTTCATCCGAGAAGAACAGCACAACCATCCCAAAGCTACATTTTGACTTGGTCGAGAGTGGGAGCTATTCTGATTATCCATGGGGTATAAAAGCATTTGAGAGCCTTATAAAATCTATTAGCAAGAGGATGGATGCTCAGAAGAAGTACTACAGGATAGCTGGGATGCCTCTAGCCATGCAAGTTTGGTTTTATGAGTGCTGTTCAAATGTTGATCCCAAAATTGCACTGCGAGTTGATAACGTGGTACCCAGAATACTCAATTGGAGATCCATCGGTAATCAGCCAAACTTTGCTTATCTGATGAACGACATGTTCAATAACAATGGAAACATGGTAATTTACTATTTGTTAGGTGGCTTATAATTTACTAATCATTACTGCTGCATACAACCTTTTTTTTTCTTTTATGTATACAGTTGCGTAATGTGATGTTGTTAGGTGGCTAGTTTATAATTTACAGTTGCATTTGTAAAGTTGCATACAGTTGCATTTATATACAGTTGCAAATGGCTAGTTCATAGTTTACAGTTGCATTTGTATACAATTGCAAAAAAGGCTAGTTTATAATTTACAGTTGCATTTGTAAAGTGATACATGGCTGCATACAACCTTTTTTTCATTATGTAATGTTGTTAGGTGGCTAGTTTATAATTTACTAATCATTACTGCTGCACACAGTTGCATACAGCCTTCATTTGAATACAAATTACATTTTGATTTCAGATTTTCATACAACCATGGTAGTAAGACTTTGATTGTATTTCGTTTTTCAAATTGTTTACAAGGACATCCAGCCAAGCGATATAGAGCTTGCCGTTATTCAGATTCCGACAGTAGGCGTTGTTGTTGAGAACAGTCCTACTCCTACTCATTCAGACAAGTCGGCAGAGGATTCGGATGACTTTTCTCCTACACCTGATCTTCAGTCTAAGAAGAAACATGCTACAAGTGTTGGTCCATCTTCATCACCGCCCCATAAAAAGCGCAAAGAACAGATTATTCATCCCTCAAATACAGAGACTCAATCCAAGATTCCTCATGTTGGTGTATCTGAAATTGCACAAAATGTTTTGCATCACAATTAGCCGGCAAATTCCAAAAATGATGAAGTATCTTCTTTGATGAACGATCTAAATTCATTCAAAGAATACCTGAGTTTTTTATGCACATATTAAACATTACAGTTTAGTGCTTAACATTCATATATTTTTGGCACACTTATCTAATTATTTCTGTCTTGCTAAGGTTGTGGGTGAGTTCAAGTCTCTGAGAT